AAAAAGAGCTCACAGGAGAGATCAGCTGGAAGGAATTCTGGACTCGGTGAGAAGGGAAGACAAGCAGCAAAAACAATGGCAAAAGGCAGACACTGAGACCTGGAGTCTGAGGAGAGCCAGGACCCAAAAGGGAAAAGGACTGTAGACAGCGATGATGAAAGAAGCAGCGAACATGGAAGGAGGAAAGGTCACTAGAGGCAGAAATACAGAGATAAACTAGGAAGAAAGAACAGAGAAAAGATGAAGGAACACGAAGTCTCTGCTGGGAAAGGGTGCACAGTGATGTACTGTGCAGAGGGGCACAGAAGGTGCTCAGAACCCAAGAGTGGCACAGGAAAATACAGGGAGAAGAGAGTACTTGGCATTATGAAGGCACTGTCAAGTCGTCCCCAGGAATTCATTAAGCAGCAGAGTGAACAAGCACAGTCCAGAGAAACGAATTAATGCCTTGCTCAGGGTGACCAGCTCATAACAAGCTACTTAATCCTGGCAAATCACAAAGTCATGGTACCTGATGTTACAGCTGATCTCAGCACCTGATGGAAGACACCCTGTCACTGCACAGGCACCGTGTGACTGCCAGCTGAGGCCTATGCTGCACTGGCTGTTTCTGACTCTGAAATCCCACCCCGTGGATGCAGAGCTGCCCTCCCCACACGTAACACTCTCTGAACAGGGACAGGGCAGGGCCTTTGTGTTGCACTGCTGTAGCCCTACAGTTCTTCAGAGCCGGCTGCATACCAGAGATATTGTTCTCTTTGAGTACGGCAAGATGCTTCTCCCGGATCCGCTTGACGTATTCCAGGGATATGTAGTAAATCTTACTGCAGATGCCTTCGACAGAGTCCTTGGCTGCAGCAGACACGTGGGGCCCACACTGCTTGCGTAAGTGCTCCAGGCGATCCTGTGGAACCACAGAACCAGAGTTCCTCACACAGCCACCACCGACTCCCTGGGGTATGCAGCACCTCCAGGCTGCTCTCCCACAGCACACGGCGAAGGGAAGCAGTGGCAGCTGTCTCCAGAAGGACCTGTATCTGTCCCCAGCACGACCCCTCCCTGTGCCCAGCCCACAGCAGCAGGACACTGACCATGTAGTCCTCCTTAGAGGCAGAATGGTCCCGTCGCAGCCAACTGAAGGTATCTTCCACGTTCCACTTCACTACCTTCCTGCTGTCTGGAGAAGCACTCCTGCAAAAGCAGAGAGCCAAAATGTAACCCATGGCTGCATGGCAAAAGATGTTCCACTCTGCCAGATCTTCTGTCAGTGGGTAATGTGGCCACTGACACTTCCTCAATGCCCTGCCCTGCCACTCCCCTCCAGTTATCTGGAAAGCACTTCCAGATGTTTGCATGACTAAAGACTGTCATGTGCTTTCTCCAAAACTCTGTAGCTGGCTGCTGTCCTCTCTGCAACATGTGAAGCCCACAAAGCCTTTATCTGTCATGGCAGTGGGCCATTTTGATATTGCCTTTAGTTTTCAAATACTGCTAGGAGCTTGTGACTCTGAGAAAACTGCCCTGTTAACAAGCTTTTCCCTTCCCCCACAAGGTTCTCCCCAAAATCTTCCTCAGTTCTTTCCTGTGACAGAACTGGCCACAAAAACTCTACCTGGTACACAAAACACCACTCTATGCTGGTTGCTCTGTAACAGCAGTGAGTGGCCAAGTACTCCCATGTTTTTTCTCGGGGGTGACAGAAGTCATTCCATGCCCAGTATTTCACTGACTCTTACTTGTCTCCACACAGATGCACCTTCCCAGAACTGAATTTTACAGTAACATCACTATCAAAAGACGCTTCCAGCACTAATGTTTTTCTTCTCTATGTTCCTAACCTTGCTTTTCCTCAGCAAGATCATGACCAGTGCCGACTGAGGCAGGATAAGCAGCCCCTATAGCCCTTTTCTCTTCCTGAACGTGACAGCACTGCGAGAGGAGCTCCCACCTGGATTCAATCAGCCGTTTTGCAGCCTCAGCATACTTGAAGAGCAGCCTCTTGGCTTCCTCCCGGAACTTGATTCTGGATAACCTGAGGTAAGTTAAATTCATATGCATGAGTTCCACGAAGGCATGGAAGCCAGATTCAGTTCCCCAGCTTTCCATCACCAGCATCCCACCACTTCATCAGCCAAAGGGAAGCACCAAAGCACAGAACAGGAGCAGGTAAATCACCAGACCAGACCAGCACAAAACCATCCCAGCAAGGTGTCCCATCTGCGAGTGGTACCTGATGGGAATGTCATTCATGATCTCTCTGAACATGGAAGGAGACACTACTGGCTCACAGTCACTTGGTAAAAGAGGATCTGTCCCTTTATCAACCACCTTCCTCTCCAACATCCAGCGATTAAAGGACTCCCTCGGGGGGTCAATCCCTGGATAAGCACAGAAAAAAGGCCTAGTCAATACGATACAGAGATGCCCAGAAGCTCTGATAAGGATCATCAGAGTTCTGCCTAATCAGTACACAGCCAACAATGTCAGAGTACAACCATCACAAAAAGAGACCATAGGGACAAGACAGACATAAACCAAAGGGAAGATCACCACAGCAGGGCAGGACTGAGAAGGAATTCAGGGGAGCCCAACACTCACCTTCTCGCTGCTGGCAGAGCTCACGGTAGTGCTGACGCAGCTTGAGAATGAGCTGAGACCGAAGCAGCTCCACCTCAGGGTGTGGAGAAAGCACTTCTGATGGTGCCCTATGCTTAATCACGGCGTTTGTCTGAATATCCAGGTCCCAATATACTCTGAGACAGAAGCAGATGTTATTAGATCATTGGCTAATTATCAAATATTACTTCCTTATTACTTCAAATATTGTTTTCTTGGGCTGTTTCTCCACTCAGCAAACTGAACTACCAGGTCTCCTGGCAAAGATATAGGGAAGTGTTATATCTCTCAGGTTCTTCTTCAAAGGTATCTGGCAACCTGTATATCTATAATCCTCCACCGAGAAAGGAACAGAAGACAAATGGAGACAACTCACTCAGTTGGCCGTAAAAGTGCTGCCTGCTGTTTGTCTTCAGGTGAAACACACCATGCCTTCAAAACAGAGGTTCCTGGAATACTGGGAGAGCTGGGGACTGGCTGAGCAGGTGGGTTCACAGGGACATCAACCTGTGTGTGTGAAAGATGAATTATTGTCCCACAGAGACAAGGGGAAACAGCTCAGTAAACTAAACAGTCCTAGACCAGAACACCACACAGGAGACACCATGAGCTCTCCATTCCCCCTTGGTTTCAGGTACACACATGTGGGAGAATTTCTGATTGCTAACAGACATGTGTGCAATCCAGCCTTGCTGGCAGGGCCTGAGCAAGCTGCAAGCCAAGCTGTTCAAGGACACTGCTGCGGCTGGAATGCGAGGAAGGAGGTAGCAAGATAAGCAGCTCCTGTGCGTGGGATGCAGGAGCTGAAGATGGTTAGAGGCAGAGAACAATGATTGGGGCATTTTATGATTGATAATGTTAACAACAAATTATGTTGTGTATAAGGTGGGCTAGTAATAGTTGTTAACCAATGGTGAGTGGGCACTGCTAATAAATAGATAGGTATACAAGAATCATTTAGATAAACAATAAAGGTCTTTTGCACGTGATTAATGGCAGCTGCCTCTTTGTACACGAACTCCCGCACACACAGTTGTTTCACAGCACCAGACCCACCTTGGACTTCTTCGCGCTGTTGCCACTTGGTGCAACCTCCTCCGAGAACCTCCTCTTCCTCTGCTTGCTCTCCGCAGAGTTATCTCCCACTCCACCTTCCAGAGGCATCGGAGCTGCGTTCAATCCCAAAGGGTCTGACTGTAAGGGTCAAAACAACAACAGCACATGTCAGCTCACCCACTGCAGCACCCCAAACAAAGGCAGTAAGCTCTCAACTTCCCATTGCATTGCTCCCAGGTCCCACAAGGATGAAATAAGGACACCATTAGTCACACCTGGAGGAAGTGAAGAAATTCTCTTCTAGACCTGTGTCTAGAAGACAATTTGAAGACTTTGATGAGAAAAGCAGATCAGATCTGCCCCAGGCTGAGTGTTCTTTGAGCAGTGCACTACACCTGAATAGCACTACCCCAGTGTGCACCCAGAGGAGGATCATTTCCCCAGAACCACGTCAGACTGAGGGAGGAGCTCTGATGGCACAGAAGACCCTCCCACACCTGCAATCCAAAGTCCACAGATCGTGGCACCCGCCCCTGTAGAACCTCCCAGTTGTGGCCCAGCCCCCACTGAGCACTTACGATGACATCATGCTGCCCCAGCACAGGCATTTCCCACAGAGACTGGTTCGTGAAGCGATTGAAGTAGTACGGGCGGTTCTCCCGCTTGCTCCAGCACTTCTCCCAGCCAGCCTGCACCAGCTCATCTGAGAGGACAGGGACAGTCAGGAGAGGAGCCAGCCCTGTACTGCAGGTCCCAACACACTCCCTGGCAGCCCTGCCTCACCCCTTCCCAGCTCCCAGAACTCCCAAGGCAGAGCTGGTACCTGGCAGGTCCTGAACCAGGCGCATGGGTTTGGGGGAGCTGGGCTGGTTCTGGTTGGAGGTGCCAGGTGAGTGACTCATGAGAGACGCTTCTTCCGCAGGGCTTCTGTGATTCTCATTGGCCATTTCTCAGCAACCACACTAGAAAAGACAGACATGACATCCAGTTACAGCAGGAAACATCCCAGATCTGCTCAGCCCACTCAGCTGTAGCACTATGAGTTCACACTGACAATAAAACAGGGATGGAATCAGTACACACAAACAGCACCTCAGCCCTGAAAAACATCTGTTATCCTACATACAACCAGCTATGAGGAACGCTGAGAGTCAAATAGGGTCAAACGGTGCTCTTCAGGCCAGCACTCAAAACACTCATGCTTCAGCTAGATCTCTCCTAAGAGTGGAGCATCAGAAATTAGTATAAAAAATTATACACATCGTCTATGACCATGTACCACCTTCAGCCATGCTAATACCACGGGCCATGTCTGATCTGTTACCTTCAGAAACAGTTACACACACATAACGGCACATCCTTTGAACAAAAGGCTTTAATTAAAAAATAAAATAGCCCTAGAGCTTCACTAACAACAACTTCTGTGGTTTAGAGAACTGCAGGCTGGGAGTTGGGACCTCCCAAATTATTTTCCTCTGTATGTCCCAAGCCCACACTGTCTGCATGGCCTCAGCCAGACTGTTTTGGCCCTTGGTGCTTTTTCATCTGCATAACAACAGTTATGCAAAAGAAGGTCTGTTGGAACAATAAAGCTCCTCTTAATCATAATTTAATGTTGCCAGCTGGAGAGAAACAGCCAG